TGTGATAAATTTTCTGAGTATATCTCTGGATTAAAAGTATCTCTAGAAACAGATCATAAACCACTCGTACAAGTTCTTCAAACTAAACCTATTGATGAATTAATGCCGCCTTTGCAACGTTTCCGACTAAGACTAATGCGCTATGACTACGGTATTTATTTTGTACCGGGAAAAGACTTAGTTGTTGCGGACGCATTATCGAGAAAATTCGTTATCGATGAACTACCGAAAAACGGCGAATTGGTCCTCGAAACTGATATTTATGTAAATTTAATCACTACCTCTTTTGAAATCAAACCTTATTTTTGGAAGAAATAAAATCTGAACAAAACAAAGATTCAATTTGTCAACAATTACGTCAGCTTTCTCAGGAAGGATGGCCTACGAATAAAAATAAAATGAACCTGGAACTTAAACCGTATTTTCAATACCGTTTTGATATTTCTGAATGTGATGGTTATTTATTACGCGGTACGCGATTAATAATACCGAAATCTTTACAAGAAAAATAAATGTCTTGGGTTTATTCATCAAGGTCATCTTGGAATTGTTAAATGTAGAGCCCGAGCAAAATCTTGTGTTTGGTGGCTAGGATTATCAACCGAAATAAAAAATTTAGTCAGAAATTGCCCCAACTTTGTTGAACAGCGAATTAATAAAAAAGAACCGTTATTTAAAGAACCGTTTCCCGAAAGACCATGGCAAAAAGTAGGTATAGATTTATTTAAACTTGATAGTTGGTATTTGATTATAGTGGATTATTTCTCAAGATATTTCGATATTTTCAAGCTTCAATCTTTAACAGAAATAAATATTATTACCAAATTGAAAGAATTGTTCGCAAAGTTTGGTATTCCAGAAACTGTTAGATCTGATAATGGTCCACAATTTCAAAGTGAATTTAAACAATTTGCCAAAGATTATGACTTTAAACATGTGACTAGTAGTCCTTATTTTTCACAGTCCAATGGTTGCGTAGAAGCCGAAGTTAAGACAGCAAAAAATTTGTTAAAAAGAGTAATGATATGTAGTTATCTCTCTTAACTTATCGCACCAGACCCTTAGAAAACGGGTTTAGTCCTGCAGAATTAATGTTTAATCGAAAAATTCTTTCGCACCTTCCAATTTTACCAAAAAATTTAAGTCAATACGTGGACACGGAACCTGTTTTAAAAGGGGAGGAAAGGTATCGAAATAAAATGTGCCGAAATTACAATAACCGACATAGAGTTAAGCAATTGTCAGATTTGCAAATTAACGACTGTGTTTGGGTGACCGATTTAAAGATGTATGGGAGAATAATACAAAAATTAATTGAACCAAGATCTTTTCTTGTCGAAACAAACAGTGGAGTTTTCCGTAGAAATAGATGGCATCTAGTTTTAGCTAGATATTATAATTTTGTTCCAAATAACTCCGAATATCATTCGTGTTTAAACAATGAGTCTTCGTCAGTCACTCAAGCATTGCCAGATGAGATTTCCAATGATGTTACTAACCCAACTAATTCAAGTGTAAATCATAAACTTAATCCCAACGAGCTCGAAAGTGATACTTTAAATTATAGTGTTGATTCACCTAAATTTGAAAGAGCTCGTGAAACGGACAAAAAAGAAAGTGTCAGTGAAAATCGTGAATGTGTTAGTGCGCGTTCTCGTCCGATCAGAATTACAAAAAGACCCTCTTATTTAAAAGACTATATTACTGACTAATTTCTTTGTAAAGGGGAGGATGTTCTGTTAGACATGGTAACATAGCATGTTAACGTTCCGGCCGTAGGATTTAGTCTATCGTTAGCACTCAATACGTATCGATGCGCGAGCGCCCTATCCTCAGACAACGCACGATAACCGGCTTTGTAATAATTTGAAGTCATTACAGAATAAATCTTTAGTATCTGAACTAACGTATTCATTTAACTGTCGCACGAACCCCCGACAGAACGGTAACAATTGTTGATTCATTGAGTTGACCGTGACTAGATGGTTGTATAGCAGGGGTTCCACCAAGTGTTACTCGGCAGACAATGTAATAAAATAGTAATAACCTTGAGGTTCAATAATAAGGTTGTCCTGACATTGAGATTTTTGTAAACAAGCAGAGTTTTCCCTTTCCTTTGGTATTGATGCTTTTCTGTTATGAAATAAGGGCACTTACCTTGCGCACCTCCGTTAAGTAAAAATTGAACTGCAACACTCCCCCCACCCTTCTTCCACAAAGGAAAGCTTCACAAGATTACCGATTAATTAATAACAAACATTGTCCACCGCAATAGGCTTCAGATCTTGAGTATGCCAAACGCCACCCTTCTCTCCGTTTAACTTAGTAAGCCAGTTTGACGTAATGCCAAGTTTTCGTCTAACGCGAAATAGTCCAAGATATTTTGGACACAGCTTCGAGTTGACCGCTTCTAAAGCGCTCGACTTTACCTTGTTTTTTCTCCACACCAGATCACCCTCCTCGTAGGCAACTGGCCTCCGTCGTAAATTATAGCGTTGTCTGATTCTATCCTCGGTCTTACCTAACGATTTCTTAATCTCCGAATATATTTTCTTGAAACCGTGCGGATTATCTGGTATAGAATACTGGATAGGAAAGTTGGTAGTGATACTGTCTGCCGTCTCCTATATATCCCCTGCCAAAATTGACATAATACGGTGACTTCGCTTCTGTAACTGCGAATAGCGCACCCTATTGCGCTTAGATTGGCATTCCATTTTCGATGATTTTCGCCTACGTAGTAAGATATGATGGTCTTGACAACTCTGTTGACCCTTTCACATGGGTCGGCGCTTTGAAAATAGAGTGGGGTGCTATACTTTTTGCAGAGATTACGGAATGCAATTAACCTCCATTATCACAGATAATGTATTGAGGAACACCAAATACTAAAAATATGTCATTCTCAACATACTTGCACACTGCGGAGGCTGTAGCTGAACGCAGATGGAACAAAGCGACATACTTGCTGAAATAATCGCTGACCACTAACAGTTGGCTATTTCCATTTGAAGATCGTGGCAATGGCCCAATAAAGTCCATGCCAAGACTAAGTGGGCTTCGATCTCGTATCCATTAGCTCTGTTGGTGCCTTCTGTTCAGGCGTGTACTGAGAACATACAGAACATGATCGAACATATTTTGCAATGTAGGCGCGCATTTTAGGGAACACATAATAAGTTTCTAGTTTAGAATAAATCTTAAAAATACAAACGTGTCCCGATAGGACATCATCGTGAGTTTTAATATAATTTTCCAATCTTCCAATAATCAGTCCCAGGCGACAACTCTGGAAAGTTACATCTTACATACTTATATAGGAGTCCATCCCCCACTAAATGGATGCTGCTTAACCGAACACTTCATTCTCTTGTACCATTCGTCTGTAGTCCTGGAAAAGTCATATTTCGGTGTCTTAGGTGACGTAAGGATTATCGCACAACTAGAACCGACCGTGACAGGACGATATGCTCTCGTCTTTTTCGGTGAATGATTTTATAGTCACATGCCTGCAATCGCAGTGCTCAACGAGCAAGACGACCTGTGGGGTCCATCAAGTTATTCGATCAAACTAGCGATGCATGGTCAGTAATGTAAATGTTGATCCCTCAAGGTAGTTCTTGAGTAGCTCCGTGGAACACACCGCGCCCCAACACTCTCGCTCTGTCGTTGACCAGGATCTTTCTCGCTTGTTAAGGGATTTTGATAAATAATATATCACCTTTTCGCTGTATGCTGAAGCGTCTGTCTGTAGAATGAACGGCTTGGAGAAATTGGGACAAGTCAAAATTGGAGCGCTAATCTGGTGTTTCTTAAGTTGGTTGAAAGCTTGTTCACAGCCTTGTGTCCACTCAAACTTGACACCCTTCTGCGTTAGACAAGACAATGGAGCCACAATCGTGCTGAACTGTGGTATGAACCTTCTGTTCCAACTTACCATTCCAAGGAAACTTCGAACCTGGGTGACAGGCTTTGGAGCCGGAACATCTGTATCTGTATCGACTCTTAGCCCCTCACAATCAACAACATATACTAAATATTTTAAGGATGATCTACAAAATTGTACACTTTTCTTTACTGACCGTAAGTCCAGCAGACGATCGAACACTGACCCTAAAATCTTCAAATGCTCTTCAAAATTGGGGGATATAACAATAATATCGTCCAAGGGCATTCTCTTCCACTGGGACAATCCTCTGCCTGGAATAGTAAAAGCAGTATATTCCCTGGATTCTGGTTTGACTCTCACCTTTTAGTACGCAGAATGAATGTCCAATGAGCTGATAAATTTAGCACCACGTAACTTGTCTAATATCGGAGACTTAGGAACCAAGACAACTGGCGATGACCAAGAACTACTAGAAGGTTCAATAACGTCCATTCCTAGCAACTTATTTAATTCCTTGTCTATAATTTTCTGTTTAGCAGGGGATACCGGATAATATCTTTGTTTGATGGGACGGGTTCCTGGTTCTACGATTATCTCGTGTTCATACGCGGTTGTATGATCTTAAACTTGTCAGCTAGCATTTTTGCTAGCTGTCGACTCTGTTCGGCAAACTATGATGAGTCGCCAACCCCGACCCATCACGTAACTCTAAAGGACATTTGATCTCCCTAATCAAACCGCTGAGCTGATTCCATCTTTCCACTGTTCCACGCTCATCTCCAAAATACCACTGATCTCGCTTTAAGTCCCGTATGAAATCCATAGCTACAAAAAAGTCTACCCCCAAAATAAGTCCTTGGGTCAACTGCGGAACAGCCAAGACGGGAACAATCTTAACGCGTCCCATCAAGCGAATAGGAACATCTACGACACCAACTACCATGACGTTCTCTCCATTTGTTACGACACAAGACGATCACCGTCTTTCATCGATCTTCAATCCTAAGTCGGCAAACACTCTCAGACCATCCGATTCAGTCACTGTCGCTGAAGCTCCCGAATCCAAAACAGACGTCTACCGAGAATATTAACCTCCACTGAAAGACGTCTATTACTGGTCGCATGCGCTAGCGTATAGGACAAAATTGCACACTCTGCAGACGCTGTAGGAGAGAAATGAGTTTTCTCCGAGGATTTTGGGGTAGGTTGGGTCACTAAGTTTTAACCTAGCGACCCTGATAACCGTTTCCCGAACATTGCGGGCAATTGCGCACAATTTAACCAGTCCGACTTTATGACACTGCCAACATACTATACCCCACGGCGTGACGCAACCACTCTGCGATGGACATGTAGGCTGATCCTGATTTCCAGACTGACCCGATAAATAACTTACATTATTAACAGACCGATAACAAGGTCACCGGTATGCTAATCCGGGCTTCCTACATGTATTTCAAATTGGTTGAGGGTGGAAAAAACTGTTCTGCTCTCCAACGGACCTCGTCAATGCCCCGACCCAATCGCAACAGCTCATCGATCGTCTCAATAATATGCAAAGCAAGCGCGGTCTGTATATAACACATTGCGACGAATCAAAGCAACTTGCCCTATTTCGTTTGGTGTCTTACTCAATTTCTGGAAAAGGTTTTCCATTCTGGCTACGTATAATACAAGTCTCTCATCTGCTTCTTGCGTACGCTGTTAAAAAACAGTAACTTGGTGATGGAGTGCTACGCGAATAAACAAACAAAAATTGAGAACGCGACGCTAGATTGACTTTTGAACGTTTTGATAATTTTAGTGTGTCACTTTTGAAGTTGTTTTTACGAATTACATATTATTTTCCGTTAGTAGATATAAAGTGCCGAAATAAGCAACAAAAACCGTACATAACCTCAATTTCCTAACCCCCCCCGCAGCGGGGGCCCCCCGCAGCGGGGGCCCCCCGCGCGTGGCGTCCTAGTGTCCCCCCTGTCTACCAGAGTGCGCTCCGCCCCCCACCTAGCTTGTGTAGCGTTCTGTTTTGCCCCGGTTCCGCCCGTCGCTGCTAGATGTCGCGCGCTCCGACCGTCGTAGGCCCCCCCGGTAGAGGGCGGTGACGGTGCGGCGCGGTGACGCGGTGAATCGGGAGGATAATTAAATAAACTTGAATTTTAATATATTTTATTTTATTTATAAAATTGGTCTGGCGAGGAGTTTCTTCTTCTTTTTATGTCGATTCAGTCGACCATCCCATTGTTCCTGTTCTTTGCGTTGTTCTTCTTCCCGTTCCCGGAGGAAATCTAAATACGAAGTGCACTCCTCGCCGTCCCACTCCGTCGACCACCCACCCGGGTACTCCTGCTGCTCCTTTGTTTCTTTTGATCCACCGGGTTCCTCCTGCTGCTGGTGATGTTCCCTTGTCGTTTCATGTCGTACCGGGAATTCTAACCTCCGGTACTCTTTGTGTGATTTGAATATGTGACGCCCTAAGCGATGCGCCAACATAATATGCGACTTGTCATACGGACAAACCGCGATTTTTTCTATAACAAAACAAAGTATGATATGTAGCGTTTCCTATAAAACACACATTTTTTTTAAACAAAACTTCCAAAAAGGGGGGTTATCAAATTATTTTAAAAATTGTTTTTTAAGTTATACGCGCATACCAAAATTCACGTTTCAATTCACTGTCATTTAAATGATATTAAAAAAGTGTATTATTGTCAAAAGGGCAAACAGCAATTTTTTAGTACAAAAAATAAACAATATTTCGCGTTTTCCCCATAAAACGCACATTTTTGAAACAAAACTTTCAGTAAGTGGGGGGTCATCAAATAATTTTAAAAATTGTTTATTTTTTAAAAGCCAAAATTCCCTATTCACTGTCATTTAATTCGATTATTATTGTCAAAAGGGCAAACTGCAATTTTTTAGTACAAAAATAAAACAAAAATATGTATATATTTCGCGTTTTCCCCACATTTTTGAAACAAATTTAAAAATTGTTTATTTTTTAAAAGCCAAAATTCCCTTTTCTATTCACTGTCATTTAAAAGATATTAAAAACACTCAATTTAAATCGGTTATTATGCAACGTAAAAAAGATGAGTATCATATTTTAAAAACAGGTAGAAACTAACCAAAAAAGTGATAATCCAAACTGAAACCCACAAGAAAGGACGCGCACTGTATAAAGGTAATTAAAATATAAAACTTACCAGTTGTAGGGTCGTAGGGAAATGGACATCGCACTTCTGTATTCATTGCACTGAATATAGTCTATAATACACATGCAACGTATTTATACACATGCACTCCCTTCCATGGTTGAATTAAAAGTCGAAAGGTCTTCTACCCACAACTACCAACGCCGATTTGAATAGACGCGATGTTGTCGCCAGACAACCGTGCAGGTAGGAGTCTCAGGGTCAACACGCGTTCACACGGGAACGACTTGAGACGCAACCGCTTCGGAAGTTGGACGAACGTATGTTGCCGCAAAAGATCAAGGCCAACTTGCTTTCATTTTTTACAATCTCCGTATGGGATGTGGAATTTCAAAACGCGTCGAGTCTAAATGTCAAGTTGTTTTGCTTGTTGAGAATAATAATTAATTGCCCGTTTATATTTGCTCCGTGGGATTAACGTAATGGGAAAAATTTGTTGCAACGCATGTGGAGGTGTCTTTGTTTGTTAACTTTTAGAAAGTATTTTCGCACCGTATAAATACATCTCATTTTTCTCTGTTTTGTCAGTAGTTGTTTTTGGTATTATTCGTGCAACGTGGAAGCTAACTTAGTGGTTTGGTGTTCGTACAAAAAAGCAGTAAGTACCTTTTTTATTGTTTTATTTTAATTCTTTAACATTTGTTATTATTTTATAAAGGTCTTAAAGATCATCTTAGTACTCTCAACCCGTAACCGCAAATAGAATAGCAGCAATCTTAAGCGTAAGTTTTTTTTATTTTTTTTAATTTTGAGATAAAATAATTAATAATAATTTATAGATGGACTTAAGTCAACTGAATCAAACCTGTCTTGCAGAAGGTGATTTTGAGCAGCCGATTGTCAAACTGCATGAATTGCCGATAGGCGTTCCGTTTAAAATTACTAGAGCCAAAATTGTTAATACAAAATTTGGCAATTCCGTGTTGCTGCAATTAGAAAATTTCGTAGTATTTCTTCCTACTCGCGTGACAGAAGCTTTCCGTCCGAGACTAGAACACTTTGCGTCGGGGCAGTACAAACTGGTCTACGAGGGATCCAAAGATATTGGAAAGCCCAACTCTTTAAATAAATTCAAAATAATTCAAAATTAATCAACATATTATACAGGGTAAGTCTTATTTACTGTTATATATTTAATAAACCACGATGCGCGTAAAGCAGATCATTCATAGAGCGCAAATCTTAATTTTAACCTTACAAAAATTAAAAAAGCATATTTCCGACAAGTTCACTCTTAGATATAGTGATGTGTGGCTTAGGAGACTAAATAAAAATATTGAATCTTGCAACCAAATCGTTTCTAACGAAAAGGATTTATCTATTGGGTTAAAAAGAAAATTACAAACTACAATTCAACATCTGAAAGCTATTAGAAAAATTATTCTTAATTATCAACATAAGCATTTTGGATTGGGATTACAAAGTAGTAGCCGCGAGACAAACACAAATGAAATGGTTGTATGGGAATCGGTAGCGTCGTGTTTCCAGGGAAGAGTTCAGACCGGTGTCATAATTAATTTACTTCATAAAGATTTAATTCAATTTTGAAACGATTGTCGTCCAATTTTTCAACAAAAAATTAGTCAAATTTTAAAGAAATTTTTATTGCTGAAAGTAAATACCACATTTTGCGGTGAATTTATTAAGGCAAAAAATGATGTCCAAGGCGAAGTTGATGTTAAATATCTGAGTACCGGAAATGCTGTAGTTGATTTAGGAACAGAATTGAATGATTGGTTTGTTGAAAATGTGCAAGATAAAATTTTAAATCAAATGTCAGAGTTTCAGGAACGTGATTCCGGGTGGGCTTTAAATAATATTATTTATTTAGAGATTAACATTAATAAATTTGAAATGGGTAACGGGTCATCCTTCGTTGAGTTGCCTAAAGAAATTGCGAATAAAAGGGCTTGTATTAACATTAGAAATGACGATCAAGCGTGTTTTTATTGGTCAGTTGTATGCGGACTCTTTCCAGCACGTTTTCGTCAGTATTTACCCTCTTCATATCCATACTACAAAAGTGTTTTGAAAACTGAAAATTTACAAACACCTATGGAAATGAATAAAATAAGCAAATTTGAAAAAGACAATGATATTTCCATCAATGTTTATATCTTAGAGTTTAATAAAAATGAAAAAACTAGTTTTTATTCCGTGTTACCTGCACGATTAACAAAAGAAAAACGCGAAAAACATTCAAATTTGTTGTTAATACAAAATAAATATTATCCAAAAGTTAATGATTTTGATCCTGATCCGCAAGATAATGATTATGAAGAAATAAAATATCACTATTGTTACATTAAAAATTTGTCTCGATTAGTTTCCTCACAGCTCAGTAAATATAATCACAAGAAATACATTTGCGATAGGTGTTTGAATTATTTCAATAACGAAACTCGTCTACATGACCACGAAACAATATGTTCCAGTTTCAATGAGTATAAAGTGTCTTTTCCCAAATATGATTACGTTGAATTTCGAAACCATATATATAAACAAAGGACTCCGTTTGTAATTTACGCCCATTTTGAGAGTCAATTGAGAAAAGTAAATTTGAAAATTTCAGATAAAACCTCGAAATACCAAAAGCACGAAGCTTACAGTGCTGCATATTACTTTAAATGTTCTTATGATGATTCAATATCATTTTTCAAAAGTTATCGTGGTCTAGATTGTATTGATTGGTTCGTGGAGGAAATATCTAATTTATCAAAATTTGTTCGTTCAAAATTTAAGGATATTATACCAATGGATAGTGAAATTAGTCTAGATCAAAGGTCGGGTCATTGTCATATTTGTGAAAAACCTTTTTTAAAAGAAGATGTTATTGTTCGTGACCATGATCATTTTACTGGTAAATTTAGAGGTTTTGCCCATCAGGCTTGTAATTTAAATTTTAAAAAAATATTTGTAGTGCCCGTAGTATTCCAGAACCTTTCTGGATACGATAGCCACTTCCTGCTTCCGGTTTTAGCAAAAAAAAGCTATGTATCCATAGTTCCGGTTAATAAGGAAAAATACATCTCTTTTACATATTTCGAACCTGATTATAACATAAAATTTAGATTTATAGATTCGTTTAGATTTTTGGGAGCATCTCTGGATAATTTAGTTTCCAGTATGGATAAAAATGAACTATATATTTTAAGAAAAGAATTTTCCGATCTCGACGAATCAAAATTAAATTTACTGTCGCAAAAAGGTATTTTTTGTTACGATTACATCGACCATATCGACAAATTAAATGAAACAACTTTACCCCCGATTGAAGAATTCTATAATAAATTAAGTGAAAGCAATATTAGTGAAGAAAAATATTCCCACGCACAAAGTGTTTAACAGTCGTTTGAAATAAAAAATTTAGGCGAGTATTCAGATTTGTATTTAAAAACCGACGTTATTCTTCTGGCAGATATATTCGAAAATTTTCGAAAAACTTGTATGGCAACACACGTTTTGGATCCGGCGTGGTATTTCAGTATGCCCGGGTATACATGGGATTGCATGCTTAGATTCACAAAATGTCGTTTAGAACTTTTGCGCGACATTGACCAAATTATGTTTATCGAGCGGGCTATACGAGGTGGAATTTCGGTGTGTGTTGGTAGATATGCGGAGGCCAACAATAAATATATGCCCAACTACGATTCATCCAGGGATGATTCCTATATCATGTACTTTGACATCAATAACCTTTAGACGATAAACGTTATCTTTTGCCGAATTCATATGAAACGCTTCCGTGGGGACATTATAAAGTGCCGTAATTATTTTTTAATATATTTTTGTTACAGATTATGGTCAAACAACTTACATTAGAAAGCCTTTGTATTATAACAATTTGCGAAAATATTAGGTGTAGTGCTGATTTTTTGCTTGAGTCACCTTTGCCTGGGAAATTTCTGGATATTGTTCCAGGTATGATTGAAGGGATGCGTTGGCCACGCTCGATGTGTCAAACACATCATCTTCCTCCTCATCGATATTTTGCATCTCAACGCTCTTATTGGGATCCGGCGTTTCCTGAATTTGTTCCATAGGCAAAAATGATACGTTAACCTTATTTTTTGTTTCTTCGTTCGGTTCCTTTTTGTGTTCCCGCTTGACACCTCGACGTTCAGTTTTTATTTCTGCCGGTGACGGTGATAGCTTTATTTTTGCTATACGTCTAGCGGCTCGCTGACGGGTTTGAAAAGCTTCCGAATTGACGCATCCTCTTCGCTCTTACCCAATTTTAATGTTAAATACTTCTTTCGAATAGATCTCGACAACTCGTTTACTTTTTTTTTAGCGCCGCGTCGGCGATGTCGGCGGACGTCGCCTTCATGACTGTTTCTATCGACAATTAAATATCGACTTTTATATATTTGTCGAAACCCTTGCGGTAGCGTCCGTTTTTTACGTCGAAATCTTTGACAATTATCAAACAGCCGTACTTTTCTTTCCAGCACTCGGAACAAATTTGTTTAAACGTGTCGTATGAAACGTCGGGTGAGACATGTTCATCATAAACGTGACGTAAATTCATGTCATCCTGTTTAAACAACGCGACAATATTGCAATTGTCACGTATCAATTGCGTGGGTACTTTGGAGTATGTCTGACAGAGATAAATAGCGTCGATGGCCTTGTGTCGGCACATCGAAAAGTACTCGCGAATTTTATCTTGCTTGTCGCACGCCACGTCGTCGAAAATAAACAGAGAATTCTCTTTCGCGTCGCTGGGGTCGATTATCGAGTCTCTTTCACTGTAGGGATAATATCCAACTCCTTTGACATTGCTCAATACGCGAGATAACAGTTGATATTTTGGTTGATACAACGACTTTGAGTAGACGTAAACATTTTCGAAACTTGCCCCGTTGGGGTTAAAGAGTAGCGCTAACATGGTGAAATTAGCGACATTGAAACCTACATTAACGAACATCTGCCAAAAAATAAGGAAGAGAAGAATACGATCCCAAAGTTAATAGAGGATATATATATATATATATATATATATATATATATATATATATATATATATATATACGACACAAGCAATTTCCTTTAATTAGTATGTTATGCTTCGCGTCCGGAAGTGGTCTTGTTAACACGCTTATTAACAAGTTACCTTTTGAAGTACACATTCCGGGTTACCAGTTTTGCGGTCCCGGTACAAAATTGGAAAAACGCTTGAACCGAGGCAATAGCGGGGTGAATCCTTTGGACGCTGCGTGTAAGGTACACGACATTGCCTATTCGCAAAACAAATCGTTAGACGAACGCCATAAAGCGGATAAAGAATTGGAAACACGTGCGTGGCAGCGAGTAAAATCTAAAGACGCAAAGTTTGGTGAAAAAGCTGCCGCATTCTTTGTCACCGCGACTATGAAAACTAAACGTAAGCTCGGTATGGGTCAACAACGGCGTCCCTCTGTTTCGTTTCGACAGGGTGTCGTGAAAAAGGTTCGCAATGCATTAAAGAAGAAACAATTGTTTCATATCGATAACCCTAAAATGCTTAGAAGATCGGCACTGGAAGCGCTTCGAGCTGGCAGAGCCGCTGTAAGAAAAGCGGGAGGATGTAAAAAAATTAGGGTACCTAGAATTATTCCGTTCGAATCAAAATCGGGCGGTATTTTACCACTTTTACCGTTATTAGGAGCGCTAGGGGCTTTAGGTTCGCTCTCGGGCGGAGCCGCTGCTATCGCTAAAACTGTCATCGATGCGAAAAACGCACGAACAAAACTCGAAGAGGCCAACCGCCATAACCGAGCTATGGAAGAGATTGGAAAAAAGGGATCGGGTCTATTCTTGAAACAGAGTCCACGCGGCGGATTCGGTCTTTATCTGAAGAAACAAAAAAACTCCCAATAAAGCTACCCAGAAGGGCTCTATATGACGTCGATTTAATATCTGTGGCGCGCAAATTAAAAATTCCTCACTTCAGG